CAATTCGAGCGAAATAAATTATACAAAAAAATAAGAATTTTTAAATAGTTAATTTGATATTAATATCTATATATTTTTTCAAAATTTTATGATATCTTCAAATTTATTTTTATTCAAAAGTGAAAACATTAATTTTATCAAAACCACATAAATCATATTATATCAATAGAGACAAAAAAAAAAACAAAACAAAACATTAAAATAAAGATGTATCTCGTTGTATTATGCAAGTACTCTTCTATTATATGATAATAAAGAAAATATTATAGTATATAATTAAAATATTAAAAACACATATATATTTGTTGTGTCTTAAATGAAAAAATATCAATGGTAGGGGTAAAATTAGGAATGCTTAAAAACCCGATCAACCCAGCGCAACTCAAAACAAAATAACTCAACCCAAAGTAACTCGATATCTAATCGAGTTGTAAAATTTAAATATATTATTTTGATAGACTGTTTACATCACAAAATAAAAGTCATAATCAAAAAAAGCACACAATTTTAAGAATTTAATTAGTTGCTTTATCAAAAAGACAATTTTACCCTTAATTGTAGAGAGAAGAAAAACTTTCTTCAGCTCATATAGAAGGGTTAAACAAGAAAGTGAACAATTATTTTTAAATTTTAACATTTATTTAAAAACAAACTAAAATAGTAATTTAATTTAAGACAAATTGCATGAAAAAATAGCGTACCTTAACTTGATTCATATTTCGAATAACGGATTTTTAAAACTTTCATTTTGGTACCTGAGATGTAAAGTTTTAAACATTTAAGTACCCGAGTAATCGATTAAAGCATTAACCGGTTATCATGTTGATGTAATAAGTGATGTGGTATGCGGTTAATGCTTCAACAAATAATACTGAATTATATACCACCTCACTCGCCACATTAGTATAATAACCTGTTAAAACCGATTATTTGAGTATTTAAATGTTTAAACTTTACATCTGCATGTACTAAAATGAAAATTTTAAAAATATATTACCCAAAATAATAATTAAGTTAAAATACGTTATTTTTTTCATAAAATTTATTTCTTAAATTAACAATAAATTTGAATATTTTGATAATGAACATTAACAATTAATATATTTGAAAATTTGACCGGATGCCTAAAAAAGGAAGACAAAACGACATATGTCTGATCATTTTAATAACTATGGGAAAATGAGACATGTAATAAAAGCTAACCAGATTTAGCGGCACCGACACTCTTTAGCTGTCGGCATTTTCTATTTCTCGTTATTACTACCTGCTTTCTGTTTGTGCTCAAATTATCAACCTCCCTATACTTGAGGGTACTAAATTGAAACTTTATGTAAATTAATGGTTAATTTTATTTGTACATAATAAAATAAACAATTTAATGTATTTTTTTTTCTATTTTTCAATCTTGTAATAAATGGAATTATATATATATATATATATATATATATATATATATATATGGTTAGGTTCACGTGAGAGCTGTGAAACCGTTTTTTTACACTTGAAACTTCATAGCAAAACACTGTGAAAGTAAAAAAAATTGAACTTTCACAGCAAAAACACTGTAAATGTTACCTTCACAATGTTTTGTTGTAAAGTTTCAAGTGTAAAAAAAGTGACCTCACGAGTTTCACAAGAACAGACTGGTCTCATGTGACCACGAATCTCTCTCTCTCTCTCTCTCTCTCTCTCTCTCTCTCTCTCTCTCTCTATATATATATATATATAGAGAGAGAGAGAGAGAAAAAAAAATGTTTATTTTGCAAACCACGTTATTTGTACAAACCGTATAAATCTCATTCAACCAATCATGAGTTTTCATTTTTTTTTGTAATAATGAGAGATTGATTAATCATTTTTATTGTATATGGTGTTAATCATGAATATTATCATCTTCATTATTTTAATTTTAGAGAAATACATGAAACAGTTTTATTAAATTTATATATATATAGGGTAAGACCAATTTATGTTAATTGATCAACTTTATAAGCTAATGATTTAATGGTCTAAAGTTGCACGGCAACAATTATGTGATTATTGAGAAATCTCATGGCAATTTTATGATTATGAATGTTCATATTGTAGATCTAATCCAATGGTTGAAAATTGGTCTCACGAAAAACCTTTGATCTCACATGATCCCAAGTATCTATGTATGTATGTATGTATGTGTGTATGTATGTATGTATGTATGTATGTGTATATATATCTATATATATATATATATGTAGGGTTGGGTTCACGTGAGACCAAAGGTTTTTCGTGGAGACCAATTTATGTTTATTGATCAACTT